TATTTATCTATTTATTTATTTGACAGAGAGAGAGAGACACAGCAAGAGAGGGAACACAAGCAGGGGGAGTGGGAGAGGGAGAAGCAGGCTTCCGGTGGAGCAGGGAGCCCAGTGCGGGGCTCGATCCCAGGACCCTGGGATCATGACCTGAACTGAAGGCAGATGCTTAATGACTGAGCCACCCAGGCGCCCCCCATACTGTTTTGATTACTTCAGCTTTGTAATATAACTTGAAGTCTGGTTGTGTGATTTTTTTTTTCCCATGTAACATTTCACAGAGCAATGATTGGATAGGTCTGTGTTGGAGGTGTTTAGGCCCCACACAAGAGACAAACAGGAACAAAGATATTTAAGGGTGCTAGCAAAAAGAATGTTTATAAAGTAATTCCATGTGGACCTGGAGCTCTTTAATGAAGGATATAAAATTTGTGCTCAGCATCACTAATCATCAGGAAAATGCAAATCAAAACTACAAGGAAATAATCACCTCATACCTGTCAGAATGGCTAAAATCTAAAACAAGAAACAACGGGTGTTGGCAAGGAAATGGAGAAAAAGGAACCCTCCCACACACTGTTGGTGGGAATACAAACTGGTGTAGACGCTGTGGAAAACATACCATATATTTATTCATATATCTCGATGAGCACTTGGGCTGCTTCCATAGTTTGGTTCCTCACATAGGTTCCTCACATAGGTTCCTCACAAAGATAAAAATAGAACTGCCCTAGGATCCAGCACTGCTGGGTATTTACCCCAAAAATACAAAAACACAAAGAGGGATATATGCACCCCTGTGTTTACTGCAGCATTATTTAGAATAGCCAAACTATGGAAGCAGCCCAAATGCTCACTGATAGATGAATAAAGATTGGTGTATGTATATACAGTGGGATATTATTCAGCCATAAAAAAGGAATGAAATCTTGCCCTTTGCAATGACATGAATGGAGCTCAGAATATAATGCTAAGTGAAATAAGTCAGAGAAAGATAAATACCATATGATCTCACTTGTGTGGAATTTAAGAAACTAAATAAACGAGCAAAAGGGAAAAAGAGGGAGAAATAAACCAAGAAACAGACCTTTACTATTTAAACTAAGAAACAGACCTTTAACTGTAGAGAACAAACTGATGGTTACCAGAGGGAAGGTGGGTGGGGGATGGGTGAAATAGGTGATGGGGATTAAAGAGTACACTTACCATGTTGATAAAATAAGGTAAAAAGTAAAACGAGGGGCACCTGGGTGGCTCAGTTGATTAAGCAACTGCCTTCGGCTCAGGTCATGATCCCGGAGTCCCGGGATGGAGTCCCGCATCGGGCTCCCTGCTCAGCAGGGAGTCTGCTTCTCCCTCTGATCCTCCCCCTCCATGCTCTCTGTCTCCCATTCTCTCTCTCAGATAAATAAATAAAAAAATCTTTAAAAAAAAAAAAAAAAAGTAAAACGATTCCCTGTGGATGTAAAGCTCTGTAATGATGTAAAATCTAGACAAGGTCAACAAACTCCGAGCACAAGGAGAAGTTAAGGCATTAGAGATGGTAACAAGGTTGGACAGGAGGTATATTAGAAGTAAGGAAGCCAGAAAGCCAGAAGAAAAACTTACTGTGGTTAAAGGTGGGGTGCTTTTGGAGTTTTAAAATTTACAGGTAGGTCATTTTTGAGTGATGATATAGTTCAAATTAAAAAGTACATTGATGTAAGGATTTAGTATTTGAATACTACTATGTGCTATATGTGAGGGAAAATATCTTATATAACATTAAGTGGCTGAAATACAGTTGAAGGCCAAAGTCCTTGATTGTGAAGCTCACAGAACAGGCTAGGGAATTTTTAAGGTCCAGGATGATGAGTTTGAATAGAAAGAACATGGTTAAAGTCATCAGTGAATATGGAGTAGTGGCCAAAAGTCACTATCGTGTAAGGAAGCATGGGAGAGAACTGTATAGAGGTGGTATGAACCTCAGAGGAGGAGGCATTTAGTACATTGCATTAGAATCAAAACATACATTATAATCACAATAAAAATCTTTTGTTTAAAAAAAAGTCACAGCCTGGAAATAGTCAAGAATGCTAAGAGAAAGTGGACACTGCCTCCTAGTTTTATGATGGAACAGTATGAGGCAATGAGTTAATATCCATTCAAAGAATTACAGACAGAACAGTGTCCTAGGACTGCCACCCATGGTTGTGCATTTTGCAAATAGACTGAAATCTAGTGTATGGTTTATTTGCTTAACTGGATGATAGAGCTTTGTTTTCCCAGATGAAGGGGTGCCATAAAAATTCTAGCTCTAGCCAAGGGCATCATGGGACCTACTTCTACATCAAGGGTGTGTCTTTTTCTCATTTCACATAGTTACCAGTTATATATTCCATTGAGGCTTTGGCAGTCACCTCAATGTGAAGGCAGAGTTCAGTTAAGACTGATAGATTGAGGGAGTTCTTTAAGTAGATAGTGTATTAGGGTCTAATGACATGGCATTAAATTCAGAAAAGACACAGTATAAGGGGAGATCACTGTTGGATATATAAGTAAGGAGAGAAGGCAGAAAAGAGAAGAGAGGATAAAAAAGGTCAGTTTATGTCTTAATTGTAGAACATTGGGGTGCCTGCGTGACTCAGTCAGTTAAGCATCTGCTTTTGGCTCAGGTCATGATCCCAGGGTCCTAGGATCGAGCCCCACATCGGGCTCCCTGCTCAGCAGGAAGCCTGCTTCTTCCTCTCCCTCTGCCTGCTACTCCCCCTGCTTGTGCTCTTTCTGTGTCAGATAAATAAATATTTTAAAAATTGCAGAATATTAATAGAATCATATTAGATTATTTTAAAAACCAGCCTTGGCCCATGGTGTCTTAACATTTGACATAATAAAAAACCTAATCAAGCATTAAAATTCTTTTATGTATATTTTTTGTGTTATGTGCAATTAAAAATGTTGAGTTAATGTATTATTATTTATAAATCAATAAGATTATGTTAAATTGTGTCCCTGTAGTTTTGCTTGAAGTATGTTATTTCTTGACTTTGACATTTCAGGAAAAAAATAAAAATAGTGATAAAGGAATTGAACCAGAAACACAGAAAGAAAAAAATATCCAAGACCAAAATTCATCAGGTCCAAATGAAGAAAAATCCAAAGCTCATAAAAAGTCAAACCCATATGGGGAATGGCAAGAAATTAAACAGCAAGTTGAGTCTCAGTAAGTACCTGAAACTTAATCCCACTGTTACTACAAATTTTATTTTCTGTCTCAGTACTTCCATACATTACAGTAACTAATTGGAAGGATAAGGTGCTCATTAAAGGTGTGGTTCATTTTTTTTATTCCTAGAGTATTTTTAAGTATTTGAAATTGTAAACTAGTGGTCATTTTAAAAAGTAAGTTAATGAGGTTTGTTTTTTTTTTTTTTGTAGGAGAGATGCTATTTATTTATTTTAATTCCAGTATAGTTAAGATAGTGTTATATTTGTTTCAGGTGTATGATAAAGTGATTCAGCGATTCTGTACATTACTTAGTGCAACCAACCTCTAATGATCTTTTTAATTCTTACCCAAATATAACATTTCTTTTGACCACACATTCACACACTAACTCACACCATGTACACATGGGCATTCTCACACTCACCATCATTCTGTTGGACAAACAAGTATCTGCATATTCAATAAAGGCTTCATAGGATATGTCTAAAGGAAAAAAGCTTTTATTTTGTTACTATCTTAAAAGTGGTTTACGACACTTCACTGAAGTTTTAAAGCCAATATTCAAGGGTGTCTGGTTAGATGTCTGCCTTCAGCTCAGGTCATGATCCCAGGGTCCTGGGATCAAGCCCCATCCGCGCGTTGGGCTCCCTGCTTAGCAGGGAATCTGCTTCTCGTCTCCCTCTGCCCCTCCTCCCGCTCCTGCCATCTCTCTCTCTCTCTCTCATAAATAAATAGAATATTTTAAAAAATAAAATAAAGCCAGTATTGAAGAAACAGACAGTTTTATCAATTAAACAAGATCATGGTAGGGATGTTACCTGATTTAAATTATTAGCTTATATGTTTAAATTAGTTATTGTCTTGGGAGCATTTACACAATAAAAGGAAGAAGTCACCCCCAGCTCTACAAATTAGTGTTTCTTAAATGTTTAAATAAATCTTCAGGTAGAAAAAAAAAGTACATGAGTTAGCAGTTTTTCTCCAAAAACATTAATGCTTTGAATTGGTAATGTAAGATGACTACTCTGTGGATACTTTTATAGTGAAATTATTTATTATTAAAACTGTACTTTTTTGGGCGCCTGGGTGGCTCAGTTGGTTAAGCGACTGCCTTCGGCTCAGGTCATGATCCTGGAGTCCCGGGATCGAGTCCCGCATCGGGCTCCCTGCTCGGCAGGGAGTCTGCTTCTCCCTCTGCCCTCTTCCCTCTCGTGCTCTCTGTCTCTCATTCTCTCTCTCTCAAATAAATAAATAAAATCTTTAAAAAAAAAAAAAAAAAACTGTACTTTTCAAGATCATATTTTTTCATAAGATAGAATAATGCAGGTTTTGGCCAGCTTTATACTGACAGTCCCCAACTCATAATGGTTTGACTTGGGATTTTTTTATTTTAAGATGGTGTAAAAGAGATATGCATTCAGTAGAAACTATACTTCAAATTTTGAATTTTTATCTCTTTTCACCCTGCCTAGCAATACACTGCTGTACAATTCTCTTTCATACACTCCCAGGCAGCCATGTGACCATGTGAGTAAACAGCTAGTATACTTCAAACCATTCTGTTTGTCACTGTCAGTATAGTAGTCAATAAATTACATGTATTCAATGTTTTATATAAAATAGGCTTTGTGTTAGATGATTTTGCCCAACTTATTCTAATATACATGTTCTCAGCTTATTTAAGGTAGGCTAGGCTAAGCTATGATGTTAAGTAGGTTAGGTGTACTAAATGCATTTTCAACTTAATGATACTTTCAAATTACAGTGGGTTTATTGGGACATAACCCCATCATAAGTGAGGGAAGATCTGTATGCTGTTCTAATAAGAATTAATTCTCCAGGGATAACATACCATAGTATAGATTAAAATTGCTGTCAGAATGTTACCATTATTATGATAGGTTAGGTTGTATTTGTTACTTAATGTAATATTAGAAAAAATGCATTTTAATGCAGCATACTGCCAGGCACCATGATAAGCCATGCTGACTATGTGTACTGAAATTGCAGAAATAATAGGCTGCATTACTTCAGCCCCTAAGTGACTTTTTTAAGTGACTTACAGTAGGAAGATGGCCTTACTATACCAACATCTCCTATACTTAAAGCTAAGATTCCTTAAAATTCAGGTATTTTGTTTCCCATGTGATAAATACACTGTAAAACCATTCTTGTTAAATTTTAACCGAGTCAGCCAGTTTTACATGTGATGGATTATGATGTCTGACTTCCTAAGTAGATAAAACCTAATTTTTAAGAGGTTCCCCCCTAAAAATAACCAATATATTTTTATTATAAAAAATTTTTGGAATTGAAGAAAAGCATAAGAATAACTCGGTTACTAAGAGATAGTAGCATTTTTAATAAATAATAAAAAATAGTAACCTTTTTTTTTTTTAAGATTTTATTTATTTGACAGAGACAGAGAGAGAGAGGGAACACAAGCAGGGGGAGTGGGAGAGGAAGAAGCAGGCTTCCCGCGGA